GGGAGAGCGGCTGCGGTGGCGGCGAGGCGCCGGCTCTCCGGGGAAGCACAGAGCTCCTCAGCTGGGGGAACGGGCCCTGTGTTTGCAGGGGCTTGCCGGCCCATTCTGCGGGCTTGGTGTTCCCCTTGTGCCGTGGGTTTGTGCTTGGCGATGCCATCCGGGCAGGTCAGGAGAGACACAGAGGCAGCAACAATGATAAATATTTCCTGCCGTCTGTTTGCACATCAACGAGCTGTTGGCTGTTGCTGGCAGATTTGCATCAGCTTGTTATTGTCGGCTCTGGAAAAATGTCTCTAGAAATACATTTAACTATATGTGTGTGCATATATATGAAAACCATTATGACAGTGGAAGTCTGAGAGTAAATAGCTCAAGACTTTAGCTGATGCATGTATGTTTGTGTGTGTAGTGCCTCAACATGTGTGGCGGATAAACTTGGATACTCCGGAGGAAGCTCATCAAAATCTCTCTTTCGGTGCTGCGGATCGCTGGTGGGAGCAAACAGATCTGACTAAGCTGATACTCGCCTCAAACAAACTGCAGTGTCTTTCAGAGGATGTCAAACTGCTGCCTGCGCTCACTGTTCTGGATGTAAGTGCAGTGATCTCGTTACGGTAGGACTGTACTCTCCCTGTAGGAGGTGGGAAAACATAGTCTTAGATCTTTGTTTTCCATTTCCCTGTAGCGGTGGCTTTGTAGAAGTGGCACTGGTGCATTCTCAGGATAAAGAAAAGATTGTTACAGATAACTCTGGTAATATATCAGTTTGTACACTGGTAGTGCGTACTGTTCTGTAGAAAGATCTAGGAAGTTTTATTATGGACGCCGAAGGAAGAGCTGTTACTGGATGCAACCACCCTTCCTGCGCTCCCCCTTTCACATCTAATCGCTTAGTGTTTACTATCAATTCAGTAGAATTTTGCAGACTGGCAGTTGCAATGCTGCTGTTGGTAATTGCTGTGAGGCAGGTACATAGCTGTAACTTGTGTACAGAATTATTCTGTATATTAGGTTAGTTTGATTTGTTTATGGGGTA